CCAAAGGTCTAGTATTTAAATTCCTGCATGTGGTTGAATGATGCATTTAATGTAAATGTACATTTTGTCAGCTTTACTTCTCCTTTCATATTGAATTTTAATGAGAGTAATATATATGATTTAATTTTTTTAATGTATACCTGCATGTGTTTTTATGGTCCTGTACAGCCAAGGAAAGTTTCCCTCTGGGATAATAAAGTACTATCTTATCTTATCTTATCTTAGATCTATTCGTTTTTGTGTGCCGGGAGGGTCGTTCAACCCATTTGAGTTGGGTTAATTTTATATATATAAATATGTTCATTTCTGCACGCAAGAGGTGTTACGTAAAAAGCATTGCAGGTAAACATACAAGTTTTACCTGTAACAGAACTGAGAATCAATTTAAACTTGCTGGATGCAAAAGATGTGCTTGTTATCAGCTTTGATGTAAACTAGTTTTACAGAAACGTCTTGGCCAATACAATTAGAAAGGTTGGCTCGGTTCATTCAGTCAAGCCTTTTCCCAAATGTTCGTTGCAGTGAACTGGCAACTCAATAGTTCAATAGATGATGGCGTTACTGCAAACATGATCAGAATGATTATGCAACTTAAGACTGATTTATGCACGCTTAAGGAAATTGGTGTGTTTTTTCATGCACTTTCTTTCAAAAGTCAAATATTATGTTGTAAACCAAAACTGTTTTTGGCCCGTTTAGCCATTTCTATTTTTTTTTTTTCATTTCTGTTCTTTTCAACCTTTCAGTTTTTATCTTTAGTAAGGTGTGCACGGCATTTGCAACAAAAATAAGTCATTTGAATGCCGAAGGTCAGAGATGTTACTATTAGAGAGTAGCATTAGGACCATATTATTTGACAGAGGAAAAAAGGGGCAAACCACACCAGAGCGCCTGCCAACCACTCACTTTCAACTTTAAAACAGTATGCACGAGATTATCACTTCCAAAGTTATTAATGAATGACTTCGTCAAATGAATGTGCTCTGGAAAAAATCTATTAAAAAAATTGCCTCCTCTTGCGTACGTACCTTCCTAACTTTCCAACAAAAGGTATTTTGTAACCTGTCTTGGTGTGCATAGTGTCTACGGTTGTCTGGTAACCGCGAGATTTAAGCCTATATTTTTTTCTCGCACAAAGATTGTCGAACATGTGTATGTGGTTTCGTGGTTGGTAAAGTTCTTCATTGATGCACGCAGAAGACGTCAGTTCGGTTCTCGCGGGGGAAAGTAAGTTTACTATCGAGTTTCTCTGTCTGTCTGCTGGGATGCTGTATCCCACTCAGCTTGGGTTAGCCCTGACAGGCAGGCAGGGTGGAATCGGCCCGCCTCTGAATAGTCCAAACTGTGTTGATGAGGGCGTAAAATACTGACACCGAAAAAGTTTGTCGTTTACCGAAGCACGTCTCGGGAGATAATGACCACAGTGTGTGTCCTGCTATCTGACTCCCGAGTATTCTGTTTCAGCTGAGTGGCGGCACGGAGGTGGCAGTGAACTCCTCTCTCTGGGATGAGCGATGGGGCTGCGAGATATCTAAGGAATGAGATAACATTGCTCTCCAACTCGCCGTTTGTTTAGTGTGTCAGCCGTGTGTGCCGGGGCCATTGTGCCCACCTCGAGATAGATGTGGGGAAAACCCGGAGATATCTGCACATTCCTTACTTGTGCAGCCGTTGTTCTATCCTGGTTGTGAACCTGGCGCACATTAACATGGAGCATGGGGAGTGTTGGTTTGATTGCAGCCGAAAGGGCGAGTGGGTCAGAAGGCACCTTTTTGTGTTAAAATATTACTGAACTCGTTTTTTGAAAAGAACAAACATATAATTTACACTAGGTATGGGTACTTCAGCCGATTTTTGGTGTAAACAGGTTATTTTTTGTTGTATCTGCAGAAAGAGTCCTTTAGATTAAACGCTTTTGACTTTTCACGTATTCTATTTTTAAAAAACTTAGAACTTGTGGTTGCGAGGAACAGTTTTATTTAGGGTATCGTCTTTGTCCAGCCTTCTGCGGCCCACACGTGTTTCTATGACGTCAAGACGAATCATTGGTGTCTATCAAAATGGCCTGGGTGTTACTTGTTGTCTGACGTAGGTATAGAGGGAAAATACGTGTAAAGGAAAGTTTTCGTATGAATGAGATCATAGAGGTAGAATGTTTTTCTAGAAATTGGAGGCCCGATGTTTCAGTATTCGTGTTCGTGGGACATCATTAGGCGAAAGGAAATATCAATATAGCCTCAGTCCTGAACCGACGCATGTGATGTAATAGTTTGGCGCTTTGCCGTCGCGCAAGGAAGAATCGAGTTCGATTTCCTTGTGGGGAGAATAGTTATCGAGTACATGTATATCGGTCTTCCTGCTGAGACCTTGTGTCCCTCTCTGCCCAGATTTGGGCGTAATAGACGGAGTCGAATCTTGCTTCCTAATGATCGAAAGTGTGTCTATTGGGCGAGCGTGTATGTGTGTGTGTGTGTGTGTGTGTGTGTGTGTGTGTATGTGTGTGTGTGTGTGTGTGTGTGTGTGTAGG